TCTCATTACCGGAATATTGACCAGGCTTCGAAGCGATCACGGGAATTATGCCCTTTTTTGCTGGTGTTATACCCTTATATTATGCCCTTTATTATGCTTCACGAATCACGAGAGCGGCGCAAATTAGATAGTTGAAATTGTGATAATGTAAAGTTGTGCACGCAATTTTGTTGTTTGCGCAAGAAACATTATGAGTAATGTAAGTAATGAGATAATGATGAAACACGCCCTTTTGGCAGCCAGGCAAGGAAACCTTAAAATGCATATGCGTGGGGTTCGTGTGTTATTGTATAAAAGAGCTGTAAATTGTAAATGTATTCAGATCAGTAGAGAATAGAATTGGGATTAGATTAATTTGTGGAAGTAGTTAGCATTGCCCAATTTAAGTGCTACTACTAAATTCTAACCAATTTTCAAATTTCGACACGTTGTAATGCCGTTTCCTGACCATCAGATTTCTGTCAAATCTTCCCCCAAAGTCCAGGAAATGGCATTTCAGAGACTTTAAATTCAATAATTTTCCTGGGGGACATGCCCCCGGACCCCCCTAGACAAACCTCGCACCTGCGGCGCTCGGCTCGTGCCTTCGGCCCTCGTTTATCAAGGGTAATATTATAGGGGCGCATATTAGTTGCCAGCCGACTGGCCTCCCCAGAAAAATAGTACCCAGCACGCCACTGGTTCAAGATCAACTCCTAACCATTGGTTCACATTATTATATTTGGCTGACCACGCCCCTGTTCTGCTATTGTGCGCTATAAAGTTCAGACGTCCATTTTGTGCACGATGGTTTGAATCCCACTCAGATGATGCTCTAACTTGACGGTCGCGAATTCTTCCATTTTCCAAGCCTAGTTTGCCAGGCTTCGTGCAATCTGCAAGCGATGTAGATTATAGTAGACATTTATAAAATGTTTTCAGTTAACTACAGTAAAAATATGGAGTAAATCTATACCAATTGAAAATACATTAAATTTCCACAATTATATATATAATATTTAATTTGTATTTGCAATCTTTATCATCACGTTAATCAACTATCTATAATTTGGGGGTACTCGAATAATCAGTATCTCCAATGATTTCTATTTCGGCGATAACGGCCCCAATGATTTATAATTGATTATCATGAGAGATCGAAAATATCGATCGTTTTCATACTACAAAAAAATTCTTCACTTATCCAGCTAATTAAAAATTTACTACCAATACACTCGATAATACTGGCTTAATATACCAGTATACCTAAAATTCTAGTGATTCTGGACTGGGGGGGTTATCGGAAAGGGGGAGGGCAAAATAGAGGCTGGGGACGTAATAAATTTCCATGTTCTTTAAAAAAATGTTAACTTGCAGAATCGTCATCAGGCAAACATCTGGAGAAATTTTCATATAATTTATCTTTATTTAGCTATATCAGTGAATGTTATATAATATGCATTCATATTTCGCTGCAAGTTTATATTAAGAATGATTTAATTAGTAGAGGATGGGGGCTATATAGAGGGTTCGTGCTTATTTCTTTTCAGGGTTCCTTCAGACTGGGGCCAATTAGAAGGAGGACTAAATAGAGGAAATACGGTCTATCAACGATCTAACTTAATGGTATCTCCATGCACTGTTCCTCCTAATTCGTATATACTGGTTATTTCAAGGATGTAAGACCTGTATTGTTTAAATCGTATGTATTTATTGGACTATTATCAAGCATATAACTTGTGACCTTTACTATTCTCTTCATTCTTATCTGTTCAAAAAGTCTGCCTGTGATATAATTATTGGACCTTTGCACTTTGATGCTGAATGTCTCAGGTAATATCTATAAAATAAAATAAAATAAAAGCCAAGGTATATATTTACCGATGTAACATCCATGGAATTCCACCCTCATAGAAATGTGACCATGCCAGGTTTTAGGATGAACTCGGATATATTTGGCAATAATTGCTGTGGGTAGACTGTGATGAATGTGACATTAATAATTCATGAAGCAATTATCCAATCTTGAGTAAGAAATTAGTCACGTGCATACGTCTTTATACCAGCTAAACAACACTTTAACAAAAGACCATTGTTATGCAAACTATATAAAGGTTTTTATATAAAGATTTTTATATAAAGGTTTTTATATAAAGATTTTTATATAAAGATTTGACTTATTTTGCATACGTTTTTGAAGTCATTTAAAAAACTCGCGGGTCGTGTTTTATTAGGTCTAAAGCCACTCGCGCTGCGCGCTCGTGGCTTTAAACCTAATAAAACACTCCTGCTCGTTTTTTAAATAGTACTTTAAAACTTACTTGTGCACAAAATGGAATTTGAATTCATAGCCATAGGTGTTTTGTGAACTGTCAAAGCTTTTTTGTCACAGACTGATTTTATGCATGATTGATTTTATGCATGATTACTTTCTTTATATATTCTCGTTGCAAAAGGTTTAGTGGATAAAAAATTCGTGATATTACACTAAGTCTAAGTACATTGGCAATGCTTTCTCTTAAACTATCATCCTTTGTATAAACCCACCTTTGGCTAATCTCGTTTTAGCTTTCAAATGCATTCGTAAGTTTGCGCAACATTTTCGCTTTGCATGACGGTTAAATTTCAGTTGGACCTCCACTCAAGATTGAGATTTTGTACAGCTGTATCATTTTAGCCGCTACCTTGCTCGCTTGCGGCGGCAGTAATAACCATGAATATTTGATCCGGCTAGGCATTATATCGCCGGTTCCAGTGTTACTGAAAAGCAAGAAATTACTTTTCCAAAAGATTGGTTCTGAAAATGACGATTGGGACGAAGAATTGCATGAAGAGAAATAAAGCAGAAATGGAATGCCTGGTTTATATATTAGCTAATAGCTATAGTCTATAGATGGGCTTTGCAAAACAAAATTATTGAGATTGTCAGAATATGTTTGTATAAAAATCCGAGTGATCCTTTGCCGCGCCTTTGTGGATGCTAGCAATGAAGCGTATTCAGCTTGTTGTTTATATTTTATGTCGGACGCAAAATGGAATATATATGCACGATTGAAAGCAATTAGCAAGTAAATCTGGAGTTGCGCCACTCAAAAGGCATGATAGCTAGATTTATGCATACAATTAGATTCACAATTAGAATAACATTTTGGCTTGATGGTAAAACTGTATAATGTTGGATGCAGAACCGTGGAAGTGGAAACAATTCGTGCGACAAAGAGTAAATTAAATTTTAGAGGTAAATTATTGAGGAGCATAGAGGCAAATTATTGAGATGCACGGTGTTGGCTCGCCTCTATCTTTCTTGACTTCGACACTGGAGGTTGTGTTATAAAAAGGCAGCATTTACTACATTTTAGGTAAGCTAGTTTAAACTCACCCTCGGCTAATATCGTTTTAACCTTCAAACACAATTCGTAACTTTGTGCAACATTTTCGCTTTGCATTGTGGTTATCTTTCAATTGGAACCAACATGTGTATACCTGTGTAACTCTGGTATTTTAATCTGCTGCCTTTTCCGCTGAATGTTCGCTCGCTGCGGCAGCAATTATTGAATGAAGGTTTGTTTTGTAAACGAAACCAAAGGCTGACGTTGATAACACTAACTGAGGCCTTGATATTTTTTCATATCATGCAATCACATTGAGTATACTGTCTTAACTTGAAGTTATAAGTTCCATGCAGTTACGCACATCACAATTAATTTATAAATCGGCTATAACTATATATTTAATTACCTTGAGATGACCATTTGATGTATAGAAATGGAATGTTGATCCATCTTGGCTGTAAGACAATGTGTAGCTTTTAACAAACTGAGTATATCCTGCTCTCCCCTGGGTACTGACTCCAACTATGGCAGTTAGTCGCTCAAAATTAATCTGTAACCATTGATTGACATTATTTATTTTGGACGACCAAGCTCCTGTTCTACCATTATGGGGTGCATAGAACAATCTGCTATTGCTTGGGCTGTGGTTGCTATCCCACTGAGATGACGCCGAGATTTGCGAGTCACTGATCAGACCATTTCGCATTCCAAGTTCCTTTGGTTTACTGCACACTATGAAAGAAACATGATATAGTAGGGTTATTTCCATATTAGCAACAGCAACATCTTTACATCTTAACCAGAATCGTCACTCTATTCCTAATCCTCAACTCTTATCCTACATAACCTTAACCTAATCCGGACACTGATCCCAATCAACCCTTATCCCAGCTCAAATCCTAAATCTTTTCTTAACCCTGTTCAAATCCTATATAACCTACCCTGATACTAACTTTAATCTTAATTTAATCCCAATTTAACTCAGGTCCTAAATCCTCATCCGGGGCTTCGGTGGCGCAATGGTTAGAGAAAGCGCTTTTTTCACCTCTGAGATCGTATGTTACTTATGTGAAAAGAGTCAGTCAACGACTCAACGCTCGACCGATAGACGTGGATTTTCTCTGGGTACTCTGGTTTCCTCCCACGGGATATGTTGAGATTAGCCCTAGCTAAACGATCCGTTAGGGACTAGTCCTAACTGACCTTTCCACTGTAGCTGTTGTGTTAGATATTTCTGAATTTTCTGGCCAAGCATGCTCACGGAACACCCGCCCAAAATCGAATTCGTCTGGCCTGTTCCCCACCCAACCAAACCATAATTCAGGTAAAGAAAAAGTCTAATTCAGGTAAATATATGTAAATCAAATAAACAGAACACGACACTTGCCTTGGTTTTTATCCGTAATAATATTTGAGCTTGAACTCGTGCATAATTCGACCCTAAAGAAGAAAGTCAACTCGAAGTGATAAAAGTATTTAGAATAGATGACACTTAATTCAAAACATGATTTTGCTCGGTTTTATTCTTGTAAATTCTGATTGGTTCTATAAGACATGGAAGGCTTTTGTTCGAGGCATATCGGAAATATGTACTGATTGGCATGGTTGTATAAAAAGTATAGTTGAAGTTAACTATAGTTGGTGGAAAACTTAACGAATCAGAATCACGTATTTTGAGAGTTAAACGAAACGTTAGTTAAATAAAAATATGTCCAAGGAAATATGTTTATTTTGTCACACAATAAGATAAGATAATATTGTTATCTTGATTTCCTGCGCGCCAGCAGGAAATTTCGAGTACAGAACAATGCCAAGATCAATGCCAAGATCAGTGTCGATCTATGTTTATTTATGGCCATATAAAATAAATTCCTTGATTCTCATCACAGCCCGACGATATTTTGGTTTCCGCGTTGATATATTTTTGTATTTTGTTATAAAATATAAATTTACCGCCCGACCGAGCATCTTCAGAGATTTAGTTATTTTTATATTTTATATTGGAATTTTTGCGATATAAAATTGTTTTACCGTTAATATTGAACATGTTAAGGGATGTTTGGAGTACTGGAGGAAAAATGGGCTTATAGCCTTATTACAACGATTTGTGTGGACCCTTATGCATGTTCATTAGCGCATGTGCAATTATCCACTTATATAGCGTTCTTCTATAATATATTTAAGGGCAAATATAAAAAGACCTCCCTCTCCAATTTTTTAAATTTTAAACTCCCTCCTGGGAGTTTTTAAAATTTAGCGATGAGAATCAAGGAATTTATTTTATATGGCCTATAATTTATTTATTTATTATGCTTTGCCAATTTCACACAATCATATCTGCACAAATACATGCAAACACAAGAACATACAAACTATGCCAATCAATGGCAGGGTATATGCTACTGCTTTACGCCAATTACAGCAGCCCTTACAGAACGAACATGACACATTCTTCATTAGATCTTTAGTAATATAAAAAGGCCAGTTTGCACCCAGGAAAACCTCTCGCAGCTAGGATAGGAACGGAAAGGAAAGTTACATAGTGCTGAAGTCGTTAGTTCCAACGCCGTCCGCTCCTGCGGAAAATTTTCCTGAGACTGAGTGGAAATTAGCCGACAATGAAGCTTAATAAGACGAACCGACAAGGACACACATTAGAATTAATAACAACACGAATTTGAACAAGACAAATTACGGGACTTGTTACAAGACAAACATACAGCCTTCCATGTTTTAGGATTTTTGACATACAGACCTCCATGTTCTAGGAAATGTCATTTAAGATTAACCGAACACATGCAGAGAATTTCATTATTCTCACACTCCTAGTGCTTCATTTCAATCTTCCCATCACACCGCGCGCGCTCACTTTTATTCAGGAAACCTCATGAAGTTATTTGAAATACTTAAGGAGGCTTTGCGGAGGAGAGAGCTCCTCGTGCCTGACAGAACCAGACAGGATCAGTTAATTAATATATGTCGTCACCATACTTATCTGTGTGGATGGTTAGGTTCAGGCGTGGTCAGCTAATGATCTAGGGATTTGAGTTACTTGGATTCAGGTCCGAAACACATGAACCTGTCCATTCAGGATCTGACCACCGAACGTTGGGAGTTCAGTAACTGGGGTAACCTGTTGTACCTACCAATTTTACCAGTTTAGTGGTTTAATAAAGTCATGATTTAAATGGTAAATGGTCTGGACCTTATCACACCGAACTTAGCCAATAATTGTCACGAAGAAGAAACAAAATTTGGCCGTTTTTCTCTGAGCAGAGTAGTACTCCAATTGACTATGAGTTAGCTAATGACCTGTGAGTCTGTTTGGCACTCTCTATATCCGATACCTTGAGGGCACATGTCTACGAATAATTCATAGCCGCTTTATTATAATTTTAAAATATTTTTATCATCAATTAATACTAAATTGAGAACATATTATCAGATTACCTTAGTGTTCATTGCCGGTGAAGGTAGCAGGAATATACGCCAATATATATACGGTATAAGTGAACCAGATACATAATTATTATACATAAAATTGAGATTACATAGTAACCAAGGTTATATAATATCACAGGAACCATGCGACACCGTGTTGAGTTCAGTACACTATACTCGCCCAAAAAAGCGTAACCGTCGCCATGGCATAGTCAAAATTTTTGCCCAAACAAAATATTGTCTGCCAGTAATACAACGCTAATTGGTTATTTAACAATTATTCGCCGAAGGCGAGGTGATTATCGGTGAATAAAAACCGAGACGAAGTCGAGGTTTTTATTCACGATAATCACCGAGCCTGAGGTGAATAATTGTTTTAGTATAATTTCATAGGTGATTATTTGGAAAAAAAATTTAAAATGCACATTTCTTCGTCATTTAATTGAAAAAACGGCTTCGGCCGCCATTTTGAAAATCGCTTAGGTGATTATCGCGTAATAATCACCTCAACAGCAACCAATCAGCGTAGAGAATTTTCAATAATCACCTATGTAATTATACTAATGACACTTAATGAGTAAAAAAGGTTGTGATATGAACTAGTTGAGAGTTTTACCCAACCGGTCCTGCAAGTTAGATGCGGTATTAAATACAAGCAAATTTAAAAAATCCTGCAAACTCCAAGACTTCCAAAAAAGCTGATTTCAACGCATTTTAGTTAGTTAAAATTTTCGTGAACAGCTGTCCCATCACTCTCATGCAAAATATATACGTGATACTTGCTCAAATCGACCTGAAATCATCCAGCTTTATAAATACTAAACCGGGGGGGACTGCATGCAGTCATTGCATTGTAAGCTTCATCCTGCTAGAAATGCATGAATATCTGAACAAAATCCAAATGAATCTACTTGGGGTAGACGCGGTGCGTTGAATAAATCGAACTCGACGTTAGAATTTTGATAACAAGGTTATAACAAATGTTTTCTTTAAAGCTTTGCATGCCTGGGTCCTACCAATTTACAAATCAGATGACAAGCGCAAATGCGAAAATTATCGGCCAATCTCAATATTGCCAATTATTAGTAAAGTTTTCGAGAGATGTGTTTTTAATCAGGTATATACATATCTTAATAAAAATACGTTGCTGTCCAAATATCAGGCAGGTTTTCGTCCTAAACATGTGTGGCGACTAGTACGCAAATATGGATAAAGGCGAATTGAACGGAGTCATATTCTTAGATATCCGTAAGGCCTTTGATTCAATAAATCACAAAATATTGCTTAACAGATTGGAAACACAGTTTGGTATCTCCAATAATGAATTAAACTGGTTTAAATCTTACCTTATGAATCGTGAACAAGTTTGTACTATAAATGGACATACATCGTCCCCAAAAAAGATTATTTGTGGTATCCCTCAGGCTTTAATTTTAGGGCCTTTGCTATTTCTAATTTATATTAACGACCTACCGGATAAACTAAAAAAAACTACACCTTGTTTAAAACGCTGACGATACCGAAATATTTTCTTCTTCTAACGATTATAATGAGCTGATTGATAAATTAAATTCTGACCTACAACAAATCAGTGATTGACTCGCCAGTAACAAACTACTGCACCACCCTACTAAAACTAAGTACATGATCATAGAATCGTCATATAATCTATAACCAATAAAGTTCACGTCTATCCTGTGTTCTTGAATAACAAAACTCTTTGTAGAACTAGCTCTTTCGAATGTCTGGGCGTTTTACTAGATGAAAACCTTAAATGGTATAAATTACAGATCGAAAAAGTATTGAAAAAAGTTGGATCTGGCATTGCATTGTTGCGAATGGCTAAAAATTTCATTTCAGTAAGCTCACTCCAAATGATTTATAATGCCTTGATTCAACCTTATTTTGATTATACTGTTCTCCACTATGGGACATTTGCAGCATCAGTACAACTGCTTGATAAACATCAGAAATTTCAAAATCGTGCGGCCAGAATAATTGCTGGCGCAAGTTACGAAATTGAATCTGCTGTTGTTGTTGAAACTCTTGGTTGGAAAACTTTAAAAAGTAGAAGACAGAAGATGAAGTCCATTCTTCTGTATAAAATTCTAAATGATTATACTGCTCCTAACCTGAAAGAGTCACTGACTGGGAGTAGTTTAACGCAAGCGAATTATATTTTAAGAAATAGCTATACTGATTTAGCTCTCCCAAAACCGAGTAGGGAATTTCTAAAAAAAGTTTTAAATACAGCGGGGCAAAGCTTTGGAATAGCCTTTCTCGGGAAGCAA